AAGAGTCTGGAAGTCTAGGCTTCCAGAGTTAACCGAGCAGATCGCGTTGGGTTAACAGTAGTTACTGTACGGTAACGGCCGGACAGGTCTGTTATTAATAGAGAAGAGTGGAAAAGAAAAGTTATTAAGAATAGAGAAGAGTGGAAAAGAAAAGTTATTAAGGTACCAGGAGGGCTCGAGAACGCGCTGCAGTGCGCGAGGTACGTGACTGGAGAGAAGAGAAAAAACGTAAATAGAGAATCCAAAGGAGCTGATCTGGCGCGAGGATAATTACCCTGGTTTTGAGTCGGTGGTCGTTTGGACTTTTTCGAACACCCGGTATACACGACTGTCATTATCTGTACGTTTCAGAAGGTGGCCCCCGTTGAAAAGCTGAAGGGCCCCCTTTGTCCGTACAGGTGCGGGTGCCCAGGTCGGCACGGCAGGTTGCGCTGGCAGAAATCCAAAACAGGTTTTCACTAAACCCGCGAGAGGGTCTCTCTCCGACACTGCGGATAGCGAACTCCTAACCTAAACCTCCAGCGCCACACCTAACCTCAAACGCGCGTCCCGTCCTCGGTAGCTCTTTTGTGCGCGGCTAGCCCATCTTCACCGCGTTCCTCCTTCACCTTCGTGGTGCCTTCTCTACCGTACCTTTTTCTCTCTCTTCGTCGTTCCTTCGTATCTTTCTCCTTCCTTTATTCTCGCATCTCCAGCTCTTGTTCCGCGTCCACGCATAGTCATCGACCATGCTTTTCACTGAACGACGAACCTCTGTGTGTCACTTTGACGAGCATTTAAATTCCAAGCGGACTGTTATAACCGTGGAAGACGCGTCTGGCGCGCATGCGCGCGTCTATACAAGATACCCGTATGACACACGTTGAAGGATTCTCCATGAAGATTGGGACTAAGTATATATTATCGACGAGTTGAAACGCGTTTGTGGAACATTTTTCAATACCAGCCCACCCCCCCCTCGCCGACCCTCGAGGTAAAATAAAGAAAATTTCCACTCAACGTCCGTTAAGAAGCGCTCGATTCTCAGAAACCTAACCTAACTAATAAGAGTCGGCGAGCATGTAAAAAGGAATGAAGGTAACTCGATACGATTTTCTCTCTCTCTCTCTCTCTCTCTCTCTCTCTCTCTCTCTCTCTCTCTCTCGCTCTCTCTCTCTCTCTGTCGTCAGACACAGCACAGAATCCAGAGTATGGACTAAATCGTAGACGTAAGGTTAATGTTATTTTAGTAATACGTACGTGCCACTCACTCCCTTATGGCCTCCGTATGACCATACTCGTGGGTGGTTGGTAGACTTAATTCACGTCAAGTACGGTTAATCCTCTGCTTCGTCTATCCCGTGACGTCATCGAATCTCATATTATTAAGAATGCCTCGGAAGACGATGCACGTGACGTTCTTACCAGCTCTTTACGAATGACGTGCAGTCCCTTTCACCGATTAATAGTACCGGACTGTATTACTACTGTTCTACTATACTATACCCGCTTCCCTATAGTATACCTCGGTGTACGCGTAATGAAGCGTGCTTACGCTAAAGAATCTGCCGTACCAAGAATTCTGTATACAAATAAAAATCATCCCGGGAGATCATCGATCGTGCGTTTCGTGTGCAGTGACGATTATGGTCCTGAGAATACACTGTTTCTCGGAAAAGAAGTTGGATCCTACGTAGATCGTCAATTAGGCGTCGAATCGTTGAAAAATATTTTTGAGAAAAGAAAAGGAGAAAAAAAATTATAAAATTTTTAAAGCCACAACCATTACGTTTACGGCTAACGGCTGTGAAAATTCCCCGTTACCATAGAAATCCGATTAGACATTCACTATGGCGATTGGCATTGCTCCTATTACGCAGAGCGTCGCTACGTAGACTGTAGTGGCGACTATCGGGACTTCTTTGGAAGAATTCTGAACCGGTTACCGAGAACGAGTACGAAGTATCAATAATACTGTATCGCGTGTCAAAGTGATACGTGGGAGTTTCATTGTTGTCGCTAAACGGTGCTAGGTCGATAAGGAAGAAATTTCTTAGTAGGGATATCAGAGATATCGGTACGGGACGATTGCGACTGATTAAACGAGACGTAGCTGTTATAAGCATGGTATAGGCAATTGGAAAAGGTATCGTGAGAAATTTCGATTACGGCTTGACCGTTGAGAAGGAATGACCGGGACAAATTGTGTTGATCACGCTGATAATTTTTTATCCAAATAAAGCCAGTTGCCAATTGACGTAATACGCGATTTCCATTAGCATGGGCCTGGGCATTGCGTTTTTTTGGGAAATTGCGACGGACAAGTTTTTATTTCCCATTTTTCGTCTCTTTGCTTAGGTACGATAATAATCCTTTCTTCAACTTTTTTTTTTAATCGATGTGGAAATTCACTTGGAGAACTTCCGAAGTTCATGTTCTTCATGTACAAGAAAGAAGTGAAAAAAAAATACAATTTTCGGAAATTTCCGTAATTCGCGATTTAGTAGCAGCGTTAGGATATTTAAGTGCCTCGAGAGACGCCAGAGGCCAAAGGACACTCGGGTCCCTTTATTCGTTTTAAAGAATGGCTGCCCCTCTTTATTCGCGTCGGAGGACTTTTCTCAATGGCGCCGTCATTCTCTTCGCGCTACGCATACCCCGGAGAGAACCACAGCGGAATGCCAGAAGGAATAGCATGACACGGGACCGATAAACGCAAAAGCGCGAAAGAGAATTCTCCCATTGTCTGTATATATATATATATATATATACACACAGGAGTACGCTATAGAATACGCGACTACTACACTATACCATATTACACTATACTCGTGATACCTGAACAGAGACTGTACCATCCGCCAGTTTGAAAGTGAAACGGTCCGACAACGGTATTCTCCGCCAACGGTCGTTTGTAAAATGCAAGCGTCGAGCATGGCCGCTTGCCGATGGTTTGTAAAGGAGAGCGAAGCTCGCGAGACGAGAGAGAAAAGTTATGGAAAGAGACGAAAGAAGAATATCGGGACGTTGAGAAGTAGGTAAAAATAAAGGACAAACAAAGGGCAACGAGTTGGAACGATATGAAATTGATGGCGCTGGCTGCTTCTCAACGGTGCGGATACAAGTAGAGGATGACAGTCGTAAAACGAAGGACGAAGGTAGTTTACGAGTACCCTGAATCTACCTTCTGCCTGATTCTCACCGGCAGTTGGTTATGCTGGGTGCACTTGAGTTCCTTTTCTAGGATTAACCTTGCCTAGGGGAGAGATTGAAATCATCCTCGGACGACCCAAGCGGGACAAAGAACCAGGGTCACTTTTCAGGTAACTCCTGTTGCTAACTTTTTCGTGATTGCCTGTTATAAGGAACCCTCCTCCAGGGTTTTAGGATCCTATTCTGTAGCCCGTGAAGGATTCTCAAGAGAGCAAGGTGAATTTTGGCGCCGTGGCAGGTGAAACTGTTTGTTCAGGTGTAAGGCATCCTGTCGGCTACGACGCCGTCGGAATACTTTTGTTCTTCATCCTTGGTAAAATTTCTTGAAAAATATTTAACGGGCTTCGTCTCAATATAATTCTTGAATACGAGCCAAGATATTGCTCGGTACATATTCTTGCTGTACGCCACAGACATTGGAATTATTGGATATCGAATATGTTTATGGCATGAAAATAATCGTGAATTAGCCGAGCATCGAGAAATGGCTACCTGACAAGGAGAAATATGTAGATGCTGAAATTCGTGTGGTATCTTTCAGATGCAGTAATATCTGATTTATTCTGACTTTATATTGACTGAGGAAATATTATTCGACGGAGCGAAAATCCCGATTCTGAGAACTACATGGATATATAGAGACACTTCTTCTAGGATGTGTATTTTTAATCGTAGCAGTACTAACGCACAAATATCTACTGCTGAAATAACTATTTTTTCTTCAAACCTTTGGGTCTACGGTGTTGAAATAGGAAACTTCCTCAAAGCTGCAGACGGTATCGATCAAATTAATTGTACACGTTGCCAAGACATGAAAAGAATTGTAAGATGCGACGAATCCATTCCAAGTGAAAAGTACGTATCAAGAAGGGTTCTGAAGGAGAATTTGGCGATACGGCAGCCATGCTTGTTACTTGCGATAGATTTAAGCCGTGTGAGATTCAATGAAATTCCACGGCTGATTCATTATAGTAAAATCCGATATAGATAACGCAATGTGTCACGCACTTTTACACCTACGTTAATAGTACACCGGTAGAGCCTCGAATCGTTTAGGTATTCAGCTAATGAGTCTCAACCTTCTAATTAAATTATATCGCGTAAAACCAGGAAACTGAAACTTGCTAGATGCTTAGATAACTAATCATTATTCCTAGGTGTATTTTAAAATTATATAAAGTACAAGGTAGGCACGTTAACGTTCTACAATAAAAGTTTCACAAGACTCATAAGAATTGTTCGTAAATATAAAAAGAAATGACAGTTACGTAGTTACCGAGGCCATTTGTAATTCGAAAAGTGTGATCCCGCCACTTGTAGATTTGAACACGAAATAAAGGAAGCAGCGCACATCGGGAGACGCGACTGAACTTTTACGGTAAAGAATTACATTCCAGTGAGAGTAGCAGCAACGGATGTTTCGTAAGTAACAATTGACGCTTCGATAAAGAAAGGCAAGACGATAAAGAGAAGTGAAGGAAGACGTTAGACCATAGAAAATTGTTTCTCACTCACCTATAAGGTGTAAGAGCACGAAAACAGCAGCCGCACGTCCACTTGCTGCCATGGCGAAAATAATTTTGTCTTTTTGTTCAGCTAATATTATTCGATGACACGCTGCATCCACTGACACACTCGCGAGTACGAGTTACTGCTAATAAACCGACGATCGAACTAAGTATGATAAGACATTAGGTATCGTGCTGATCTACGTACTGTCGTCACGGCGGCCGATTTCGGACTGTGGCGGGGGAGCTATTCGAGGCCTGTCGGCTCGACGTTCGGCTACGTTCGGTTACGTTCGCCGTTTAAAGGCAAGCAGGTACAGCCGAGGTAGCAAATGGACGAAGTGGAGAACCGCACCCACGGAGAACTAGCCGGGAATTTCCAACGGTTGGTAACACTGCCTGCTCTTTCCAGGAGACTGACGCCGCCGTTCAATACACCACTACGTCACTGGACATACTTTGCGATGCTACGACTTTGTCCTATTTTATCCAGTTGTTTTATAACTATTTTTTTCTCCACAAAATATCACGGATAGTTCTCAAATTCCGTGCGGTATGGAATGACACAGATTCTGATAAGAAGTCACGTTCCTGTTACGCAATGCGAATCATCGATTCCTCGTGCGAGAAAAATGTCTTTCAGCATATCATGTGGGTAAATAGAAATTTATGGCTGCCATATTGTTTATACGTTATAATTTGGTCTATTTTCTTTACATGAAATACTGGCAGTTTCTTTAACTTCACTGCGAACACTTTGATGCCCGTCAAGAGGGATGCTGGGTCTGACTCGGCAGGGGGTTCTTGTCTCTTGCGAGGCGTTGAAATGCGTGGGTTTGTTAGGGTGGTTTTGGACGGAGATACTTTTTGTTTATCATTTGTCACGCTGTTGTTTACGTCAACGAGGAGTCAGGTTAGTCTCTTCTTTCCTTTTCACTATCAGATACTTCTTCTCTACTCTGAAGTTTCCAGCTGATTTGTTGCTCTTGAAGAACAAAATTGCATGGAATCTCGAAGGGTTGTCAGACGGATTTAAATCACCCTTGTCACTTGGAAATTTGCAAACAGTACACAAAGCCACCAGTATTTCGTGTTTCGGTGTTCATCCGTCAGAGGCGGTAAATTTAAATAGGTAACAGACACCGCCTACTTTCATTATTAAATTCTATTCATTAACGAATATCATCTGATGAAATAATTATCTTGGAAATTTTATCACTATACAGCAAGTCCCGATACCACGAAAAATTCTTAATAAACGCATGATGAATCATCTGCGATTCGTAAAAACTAAGAGACAATAACGTCGTGAAATGCGCGACGTGGGATAAAAAGATAGAAAAAGAGAATCTGAGGACAGATGCGAAGAAGAGGGACAAGAAAATAAAAAAAATAAGTCACGTTATGAATGATCCTACCGTAAGTATCGTATTTCAAGTCAAGAGGGAACGGTTATTAAATACTTAAATCTTCGAAGATCTAGAGAGTCTGAAGGATGCTTGAAAAGTAAAGTAAATCCAAGAAGGATGAGCGATGCTCTTTATTATCTAAGGGCGCTGATACTGGACTCAAGTCAATGCACTTATGACTAAGTTATTATTAAATATTTAAAATGATCAATGATCAACGACGCAATGATTTCTAGCATTGAAATCAGACACGAGCCGCCTGTCAAAGGGACAAAAAGCCAGTGAAGGGGTTGGCGGGGGGTACGAAATGAATGATGTCGAGATTCTCTCTGTATTGGAGCAGGCTTGCTGGCGCCTGTAAGGCAGGCAGCCAGGCGGGCGCCGTTTTCCTGAGAGGATCTAACGTTAGTCAGAGAGAGCAAGGCTATCTGGTTTCGTCCTGCGCAAAAGGACAGAGATGTAAAAGCGATGAAGAGGAAGGTGGTGGTAAAGTCGTAGTACGAGTAAGAAAGAGAGGTCGAGCTGGTTTATCCCAAGCCATAAACGGGAGGAAGCGAGAGACAGAGATAAATAGAGTGCTACTACGTGGACAGAAGAGAGATGGAAAGAAAGGAAAATATACCTCATTGGCTCGCAGCCTCTGAAAATCCTCTGAGGTAACAGATTGGAAGACGAGAGAATGTCCTGTGCCAAGGAAAAGCCTCCCAGCGACCTCCTGATGAAGACGTTAATTTTTTTTAAGTATTTTTTTTTATCTATTCTCGACACAACTGTTATGTCCTTTAGTTGAACTTTCATTACGGTACACTTTCAGTCTCGAGAAACAGACGAAAGAATCGGAAGGATATCGATCAGTGGAGGATGACGAAAGTGCAGACGTCTTGGGGAGAGTGGCCATACTTGTTTGGTCTACCGCGAAGTATGGTGTTATTTTTCTAGGGGGTTACTGAAAAACATCGGAGAGCAGACAGAACTCGTTTCTTTTTTATCCGTAAAAGAAGGCATTGTCGTCAGTGTGTTTATGTCGGACACACATAGCCATACGTAAGACACACGCAAACACTGGTACGACGGAAGCCGGAAGTTTGACTCGCAACGGTATATTTATTTTTCATACGTTTTTATGAGCCACAAAGTTAAGTAAAAATGAAAAAGTTGTATAAAAAAAAAAGTATTTCTCTTCTAATGAAATTTTTATTAATTTTTTACAGCATGCGACAGACTACAGTATCGCCATGCTTGATATCCTGCTGTCAGATCGATCGGGTCTGCTAATTCATGGCTAATAACTGCCAGTGGCGTCCTATTGGAAAATTTGAAAAAATTCACAATATCCCCTTTTCACGCTGTCAGCCTCGACCCTGCACCTTTATACCCACATGAGACATATGCACCACGGCAAAGCACACTTGGACAGATGCAATCCGCGTGCAGCGTTATACATTTGCAACAGGATTGCTGCTAGCGAAGAACAGAGTGTGGTGTATTGTAGTAGCCTAATCCGATTACATGGACCATTGAAGTCGCAAGTGTGATCTTCTAAAAGGGGCTAACGTAATGCGCTTGTTAAACGTTGAAGAGAGATCAATATTTTCTATGGTGAAGGGAAAGGAAAGAGAGAGAGAGAGAGAGAGAGACTGAGAGAAAGTGCAACACAATACAATGCAACCCTACAGCCAGAGGATTTTTTTCCATTAATCCCCAATGAGTACTCATGGTCGGTAAGGATCTACAAAAATCAGTAATACGGATGATATTCATTCAAGAGCATCCATTGAGTGGTTAAGTAATCGAAGGTAGTTGGACAGTTGTTCAAATTCTATAAAATATTTTTCCTCCTCGTACGCACGTGCGTGCGGCCGCTGTTAGGCAGTCGGACTGGTGTCTGAAAAGTAACGATATACGAAGGAGAGAAAAAAAACGAAGGGCTGGTTGGTGCAGAAACGTTTAAATAAAGGGGCCCTCTGTGCATACAGACGTCTAATAAATGGGCAACGGGATCTTGAATTATGGGCAAACATCCCGGCCTAGTGCCTAATGCAATTATTGCTTTTAGAATATTGCCTCCATTTACGTATTGAATTTTAATTAAGTTTCTCAGGGACTACCCGCGGCGCGATTAAGCGTACATCTATTTATAGATAAGTAGGACAGGGACAGGGTGACTGTGAGAGATTTTCTTTTTTCACCCTATACAGTCAACCTCACCGATATCGGAAATTTACATGGACAGGTTATAAGTTCTGGAAACCTCAACCTCATCTTGTCAAACTTACTGCAAGCGCAAACGAACACACGATGTGGAAGAAAAAAGTTATCCTGATGTCATGTCCATGGCGATTCTTTCTGAAGGAAACTCCCGGAATTCTGGCGTCCGCCTCTGGAGATCTGGACACCCTCCAACGGCTATCTGGGTTAATATCGTAATATTGTGCTGCCACGCTCGGGAATTTGATGAATTAACTTTTCCAGGGAATCAATGCCGGATTTTGGGAATGCCTGGAGATATCGAAGGAAGTCAAATACGATATAAGGATTACACAAGGAAACTATACGAGATATTATCAATATTATCAACGATGCTACAGCTGAAAGGGAATTTTATAAATATATCAAAGTGAGCAACAGTCTACGGAAGCCTCACTCGAGCAAAGACATACACGGACCCTTCGTAATTGTACTAAATAAATGGTGACTGTCTCGACGTCTCAAGAGTTTCGCACACTAAAGTCAATCGCTCGTTCTACCAGTGACGTATAGTTGTGATAAGCTGAGCAAATGTAGCGAATACATGAAAAACACTGCCATAAGGTGCATCCACGAGGCGGATCGTGCACTTATGTCCAAAGTGCAGTATTACGGCTCAATATATTTATTATATTTGCGCACAACTGTGATACGTATAATTTGACGTAGCGTAATAATTTGGTACGCGTTGCGCAATATGCTTCGTATTCTGTGCGCACTATACCATGGTATAGTATATACATATAGTAGCATTATAGTAGCCCTCGTAACTCCAGGCTTCTGTTAGGGATGAAGTTAGTCGAGCGAGCTGGGAGAATTATTAGCCTGCGGAACCTGCGGAAGGGTAAATTTGACAGATGCACCAGGGATAGGCAGTGCATATATGCACACGTGTGTATCGATCGCGATGCATTTCCCCTCGATGATAACAGTCATTAGCAGTCATGTAGGACAGAGTATATTGCTGGGTAAATTACAATCCGTGAAAATTCTTTGATCCTACTGTATATCGTACGGCTATTGCAGTTGACTGTGAGAAAATATTAAAACGCTTGGCTTTAACTTTTTTTTTTAATCACTCTTTCTGTATTTTGTTGCTTTAATCAGTTTTCTCTGTTTCGCACCATTCACGCGGCGATATTTCAGTCGGCCTATAAAATGCGAATAGGATATTCGTATATTTCGTCACGCATACCCTCGAAACCGATAAGCAATATTTCACGCTTTACGTTTATTGGCTGCAATATACTGTGGTCGTCCATGGGCATCCGTATTCCCAATAGGTTTTTGCCTTTCTAGTTATTAAACTGGAATACACCATTTTTTTTTACAAACAGCCACTACTATTAATCTAGTTACAGACTGGTTGTATATATATATATATTTTATAGAAAAATGAAATGCAGATACGGAAGTGGATATTCGACTTTTGTCTTTTGTTATGATAAAAAATTAATTAAAAAGTTATATCAGTCAATGCTACGGATGAAACGTAGGTGTCATTTTTTTTTTTAATAAAATGAAATCAAAATAAGATCAACAATGCTCGACAAGACTGTGAAAATCAGGAAGCGCTCGTCCCAAATGGAAAGTCCATTTCAAATAGTAAATCTCATTCGACACAGATCCTCTTTCCATCTGCTTTTTTTTTCATCTTGTTCCAACACGGTTTGTCCTCACAAAGAGTTCCCGTAGATATTCACGGCTCTGAAAATCACATAAAACAAAGCATTACCTTCTAGGAAATTTTTTCATTCTAATTTACAGCCTGTCAAACCCAACGACTCCCCTATCACTCAGGCACTCGTATCGCGGAAAATATGCATAATTCATAGGACGCCGTGAACCCCATATATAAGTATATGGAATACGCGTTACTCAAGCATCCCAAAGAGAACGAGAGTGAGAGAGCGAGAGATAGACAGTGAGTGACGTCATTTTGAATTCATGAACAATCGATCTTCCGTATAGGAAGTCAAAATTATTTTTAAGATTCACTTGCATCACATTAAAACAAAATACCTTATAAGTGCTTATTGCTACAGACAACAAGTATTGTAAAAACATACCAAAAAGAAGGCATCAAAATCCATGGTGCGACGTCGCGACGTCAGGGTCAACGTAACGGCGCCCGGATGCCGGGACGCTAGGAATCCACGGGGAATTGCGCCAGAGAAACTGCACATGGTTCGATACCGTTCTTCCCTGTGAACTATATATGTATATATACATAGCTATATACAATATCTATAGCGTCCCATAGCAGAACCACCTTTCTTTAACACAGGTTCCTCCCGTAAACAACGTGTCATCGCGACACACTGCCATCTTGGATATCGACATACTGCATGCTGATCCGCAACGAGCGACGAGCGTCTAGGGAACTTTAAGATTGACAGGTATTCACGCCCGATCAAATTTATGGACACAAAGACAAAATTAGCGGGAAAAAAATGTGAGAATTTAACGGAAGAACGTGATTATTACGTCACCGTATATAAGAGTACGTATGGTGGACATTTATAACAATCTTCGTTATCCTTTGTGCGATGGTCAACCGTATACCGAGGCAAGCACTGCTGTTAACCTAAAAGCTGAAAACTGTTGAACCCGTAGGGTTACATTGCGGTTCTCGAAAACGGTCATGGCGGTTCAAAGTAAAGAGGGTTTACTCCTAGGGATGCCCCTTGTATACTAAATGAAACACATAATTTAGACGGCAGATGTTCCGCGTGACAAATATAATTCGACGCATCAATCTGCGGTTCGACTCTCGGAACTTCGCAACCCAGACAAGAATTAATGCGAGTGGTCGCTTTTTCGACTCTCACTACGTTACGAAACTGACACTCGCGTCATTTCCCTTGAAACACTTCGAATGGGACATAGGATCCGTGACGGGAATTGGTGGGCTTTTTAAACCTGTCAAACGGAACGAAACGGAGAAGTGCTATATTATGTAGTATAAACATACGTAGTATATAGTTTGAAAAAAAGTCCCTAGGGGGATAGTGTACGTTCGTTTCAGAACAAATGTATTTATTTTATATATATATATATATATATATATATATATACTATATTATATATTTATCCAATATGGTATATAGGATATATTCTTCAAGTATCGATCTATATTCATATAATATACGTGAAAGGGATCTTTTATGGGACAAGATGGCGGACGTCGGTCGACTCTCAGCTCGCTGTACTAATAATTTTTACCCCGCTGATAGGAACGCTCAGTTTATTTAGAAAACAACGACTCGAATAACGTGAACGTGACTGGGCCACACTTTTCGAAGCCTAAACACTGCGTATGGTAATGGCGTCAGGTCGAGCTGTTGATGCGTGTGCATTCTTTGTGCTGTAATAAGCAATGAGGTCAGACTGGGTAGAAGGCATATGGAGACTCGAATTTTTATAGTTGCTTTCTTTGTTTAACTCCTCAAAGTCGATCCTCTATGTCATATGAGAATGCAGTGCGCGGGTTCTTCGTCTAAACGGAATTTTAGGGTGAGATTAAGGGATGTTCCTTTCGGACGGACCTGCCAGTCTCCAGGGGCGTATCAATGTGAAATGGTACGAAAATTCTGTACATAAGTAAATCGAGTGCGCACGATGTGCCCAGGGGTGAAAAGTGCACCCTTCGGAATCTCATGTATATTCCATTCACACTTGCGCGTGCCCTCGTAAAAAGAAAACAAGGAACCTTGCTGATGTATATATATATATAGGTGCGACTTCCGTTCCGCAATAACGGACATTGCTTGTCGTGCACCTACATTAAGGAGGGGTTGGTTGGTGTGTGACGAAAATTTCAATATCCCGCAAGGGATGATGTTAGGGGGTGGTTCCGCGATAAATTTCGTAAATTCGCGGCCGTTATAAAAGACGTAAGTCAGAGAATCATGCGCGAGACTTGTGGGGTAGGTGAAAGGTGAAAAAAAAGAGTCAGAAACTTTTTATTTGAACGTTACCGGAAAAATCAATGTGAAATGGTTTGATACAAAATTTTTTTCTCGTTCGCTCAATTTCCTACTTTTTCCCTATTTCTTTTTTAACAGTACTAACGAATTCAATGGTTTTCGCTTTAATAAACTTCCCGGGCCAATTAGCCGGTACTCGTTACGTACCCAGAGAAATGGTCCCGGGGTCAGATATATACCCTCTTTGTATTCCGATTATGACCGCTATGCGGCGCTGCTTAAACTTCGAGATAAATAGCTTAATTTTCTTAATTAAAATTGCTCCGTCTGAGCCACTCGTCTCGAGTAGACGTAGCGGACTGTTCGTTTCCTGCCCGGGCGCTCAGCACACGCGGACAAATTCAATTTGTAATTACGTAGGGAGACTCGAGCACAGTGCTGCCATCTAACGGATACTTTTCCATACCACAAGTCATTGGGCTCGTAAAGTATGCATATTAAAAAAAGAGCAACATGGAGACGAAGAGACGGATAAAAAGTGTGTGTAAGAAGAGAAACGATACAAAGAGAAGATAAGCGATGAGAAAAAGAAAAACTTTGGTATAACAAAAAAGTGGTTTCTACGAGTATTACTAGGTTAACGACTAAGTGTACTTACGGAGGCTGAAGTGGTACTTTTTGTCACAACAAGAGATACGTATTCTGTTACTTTTTTTTGACATATAAATACACGTACAATGTATATATACAATAATATATCCCGCTGGAGTCTTTATCTTTGCATTTTTATTAGCTACTCTCCGGTGCACGTTTTAAATATTATTTTTCACGATTCTTCATGTACTCGTGGACCTTTAGTTTATTTGCGAGGTTGGGTATCGCGACGAGCATCACGACCGTACAATGAGAATTGATTTGCTACGTTAGTCGCAGAGCGTCGAGACAGGGTAGAAATAACGCCATAAGACGATAATAGAATTTTCATGTAATCCTTAGTAATTCCCTTGCGGCCGTAGAAGAGACCGCTACGTGCACCCTTAAAGTGTTATATGCCAAAGGGATGCTAGATCCTATTCTAAAATCCCCTAGGGGTTAATTGCTTGGTATTTTGACATGCGAGCAATCCGCAAAGGGTTCCTGTTTTCGAATCCATTTTATTTAACTACTTCCGACTGTCCACTCAAGACACCCTATATATACTGATGTAGCTCATGAATCTCCCGAGCACTCCCAGGGGATGAGTGGACACGCAGAAAGAGGGGGTAGGAATACGTGGATCCATTTTGATATTAAAAAGTGGCATTTTTATATTTTCTAATATACAGAGAGAAAATTCTATTTTTGTTTGTCCTGGGTGTACCTAATTTTTTATTGATGACGTCGGACTGGGCAATGTTAATAAATTTTTTGAATTTTTCACCTATCTTTTTTACGTATGCAGTACAGGCCGGAGCAAAAGTGGCCACTGCTGGCGACAGGAAAATCCACTTGTAAAATATGTAAAGAAGAAGCTTTTATCCAATACCCAAAGCACACGTTGGTTCGTACACGTATGTGCAGACATGATCCTAGAATACTGAGGGTTGTAAAGGCAGGTTAGGAATGCCTAAGGCTAAGAAATATTGGAATTTTACCTGATATATAGTAATATGTAGAAGATCCATAGTGCCACGACAGGCATAGGGCGAATCATGATTTCTGACTTCACGTGGCATTTTTCTCACAGTCGCCAATCTGTATGGGGTCCTCTCTACGAGTGTCTGGTGAGAATAGAGGAGAGAGGGGAAAGTGAGAAAGAAAGCAAAGTAAAATTCAGCCCGTGAAAACGCGTTACTTATGCCGCTGTATACTTTCCGGCCTACTATGGAAAAGATAGGGAAAAACGGAACAGCTTCGTATAACAGTAGCTTGCCGTTCTTATAATGTTTTTCGAGGATAAATGGGCTTTCCACTGTGCGCGAGGTGATTCCATAGGGTTTCGTTGCCACGGCAACTCCGTAACACCATTAAGCGTGCACGGGGTTTCTCGTAGCAGTACTGGGGACCATCGCGGGACGAGGAAAGATCGCAGGGTTGTCCCTAGGCTGGCGAAGAAAAACCCTATAAAAATAAATACTTGTAGAGTATAAAGACGATACCAACCATTGGTACCCCATGGAAGATACACGACTCGTATTTCTATGAGCCAGCCAATTACATTTTATTAAAGTATCATATAAGCTAGATGTATTGGAAATAATGAGAATTGAACATAGCCTGAATAGAATTAATAAAAAAAATATCCCTATAGATTTTAAAGCACGCTCGACGTTCTATGTTCAAATTGAACTTTTATGGAGTATAATATTAATTCTCATTTAGTAACGTTATTCGAGTACCTTTGACAGTTCCATTAATGTTTTTCCAATTAGTCGGAGTCTTTGGTGATAAACTTCAATTTCCAAAAGCCACAAGAGGAATCTGAACACAGTAGATATTTATTTGCAGCATAGCGATTGCTGGTGCAATTACAAAAGTTTTCCTCCCCATATCACCTCGACTCACCCCACTGTGTCTAAGTAGGTCGATGGGTGATAAATTCGATCTGTCCCCGTTGAACCTCTGCTTGCAGCCAACCCTAGGCATTCTCGTGGTTATCTCAAGCTCTCCTTTTATCTTTCAAGATAATCTCTCGTCGCATAAATCGCCCAGCCCTTTTCGAGGTCCTAATGGGAAATCCAAAGCAACACCCTAGGAAACAAATTAAATACTACTTCGTACCTATTCCACCCTCTATTTTCTATAGAGGCATTAAGCACCTCTGAAAATCGCCAAGGAGTTTCGCCCTCTTGGATGCATCATGTTCTGTATGACGTCATCTCGATAAGATTTTGACTAAGGGATGCTGCAGATCCAAAGGATTTTTCGAAAATATCTCGTGCAAGGATCAGTGATCTGTAAAACATAGTGGTGGTTAATCGGTCGTACTGGAGGGCTCTTTTTTAACTCTCCCTCTAACTCTCTCTGAACAAATTGAAAATCCGAGGAATTTCAGCAATTTTGCTTTCCCTCTTGGAAAATCCATGGATACTTTTGGAACGCGGGAAATTCAATTTTGTTTATTACCTTTGAAAAGCCCAACCTCCGGGGCAGCTGTGTCGTGACCTGAAGCAAATAATCCTGACTATACTGAAAGGAGCCTTCGATATTCTTGCTCGAGGGGTATACGAGGTTAGCCCAGGATCAGCTGGCTTAACCTTCCATTAGCAGGGTTGAACGCGACGAGCAGCGTACACTAAACCCGAGATTAACCAGAACTCGTCCATCCTTCTGCCTACCGTACGTATTCCACAGACATCTCCATTACGAAATTCCTATTTCCAACTAACCATCGACTAACCATCACGCGGTTATTCTAGTTATCGACTGGGCAATGTGATTCGGTGAGTTCTGAAATTGGCCTCCAGGACTCTCGGGAAATATGCTGAAAGAATTGAAGAAAATTCTCTTGACTATTTGAACGGACTATGGAAAGATGCAGGTATCTCTCATTGGTCCAGTGGATGACAGATTGATCGAAAGACAATGTCTAACCTATGAATTTACTTTTTCGTACGTACCTGCGTTACGACTTGTGATAGGTTGGGTTAGGTTGCGTAGTCGATTCCATCACAGGCGACACTCGTTTGCATATCGAGGATCCGATTAAAATAAATTAGCCAAAGTGTCTCCGGGTATGTATACCAATTTCCTGATTGTACGCATCTTCTCTTACATTCTACCGGGTGATCTAATTACCGTTGTACGCCCTTGCGTAGCTATTCCATCCAGTCACTCCCGCAAAATGCCTTTGTTAGACTCCCCCTCGTGAAAACAACTTTACTCTAAAAACGTCACGAACCTCCCTTTTACTCGTGACGGAGACGGAGGACGAAAGGCGGAGAAATGGCGGAAAGTTGAGAAGAGACGGTGAAGAAAATGTACGAGGAAGGTGCGAGAGAGACCGAGAGAGAAATTCTTTGAGTGTTTCGCGCTAACCTATTGTCGGATGTAAAGGAGAGTGAAGTCTCGTTTCACGGAGTAAAAAAAGTTCATGAAAACAAATGAAGTCGATGTCTTTGTACCTTGACGAAATGTAACTTCTTAATTAAACTTTTTTCGAATTTATTTTTTCTTTCTATCCCCTTGAATTGCGAATATTTCTTATCCGCTATGTGAGAATTTTCTTTTGCGACTAAATTCAAATTTTGTCGATCATCCAAACACGTTTATAATCCAAAATACGCTTTTTCAAATTTCGTTAAGGTTCTTAAAATTAATCTAAATAATTCTTTATCTCGTTACCTAACCTCTGTAAGAATTTCATGATCGCGCAGCAGAATGCAAGTGGTCCATCTTCTGGATGATTTATCTAGACGTGAAATTAACATTTTTCTTTACGTAAAACGCTTAACGAGAAAGTAAAAAGGGTGCGCTTTTCATTAAACGCCAAGGAAATTAAGTAATGAAGGGTACAAGAGTGTAGGGTGAAACACGTTCGATAGTACGACACGTACCATGGTCTACCATCAGGGTGATTTTATAGATGATCTTACGAACTTTATGGCTGACCCTTCGACGTTAAACCGTCCCTGAATTACAGGGTAGGTTACCTCCACCCGAAAATTGTCTGCCGTTCGTGGAGGAAAGTCTCACGACGAGTTCAGCGTCAAGGATGGAGATTGTCCATACGTCGATACTACCCGAGAGGGTTGGAACATCCCCCTGTTCGATAAAGCTGTCACTACACAAGGTTATTCGAGCCCGAGTCTACAAGATCTTGAGTAAAATCTCTCCGCAGTCCAAAGGTATCATCCACTATCGACACCACGTAGCAGGACTGAAACCCTTGAGAAAAAATCCTATCCATGATCCCCAAGGAAAAAGGTATCCTCGTAACACAATCATTGCTGCCAACCTCCTAAAACATATTTGAAAGCCCACTCCGTATCTCTCATCAGATGCCACCCTTTGCAATTGGGACAAGAATTCCCTATAAAAAGAAAATTTCAAAGACCCAGTAACAAGCAGACTGTCAATCAAATAAATTTAAGAGACAGGGAAAGTGTAAAGTGAAAAAGAGGATGACTTATTATTAAATAAATAAAAAAGGTAAAAATCACTCGTAATCCGTATCACGTCTTTCCCCGTATGCCGACTCTGACTTTCAGCCTCTCTACTTTCTCAGCATCCCTCCTCTCGTCTTTCCAAAATCGATTTCAGTCGGGACCGCGCCCAGCTCGGAGTTCGAGTTCCAGAGTTAGCCTCATTTAACAGAGCTCGTTCGCTGCCACATCGGGCATGCGATTTTCTCCCTTAGCCTTTTGCGCCCGGCTTCTATCTCGATGATTTCACCCGGTCCACCCGATTGGCCGTGCAGCTCCCACACCTCCAGGTCTACCACATTAACATGGATATACTGAAGTTATTCGTCCAGGTCCACGATCAGTACTCTTCGCTCCTCACTTCCTTCCCTCTGACTACTTACTCATACGTGCAGCAGTGCGCAAATGTATCCACGTCACACGTGTACTTTTTGCCACAGTCAGAATCCTCATATACTTATGTATGTACAGGCAGGTAGTACACGCTTGGCATTTCTACTGCCTATTTCATCGCACACGAGTACCCCTCCGTGGCGTTTCCCGAACCAATGGCTGTGAAATTGTTCCTTTCTGTCGCTTCCTTTTCTTCCCTTCTATTCCAGCCTCTCTTTCTCTTCGCCTTTTGTTTTCCTTCAAACGCCGTTTCATTGCTTCCGTAGCTACGTCTCTGCATACCGTGGATGAGGTTCTTTGGGTAGCTTTTGAAAAAGAGATTTTAGCCAAAATTAACCAGGGGGCTAAGATTCGTCGAATCATTCGTGTCGATATTAATGTTATTTGATATTAAGGAAAACGAACGTACCAGAAGTATATACAGTTTTGGTTTTATTTTAATGCAGATATTCACCCTCTTTTTCAGATATGATTAGCTTCTTTGTATAACGTATACAATTGTATACGCTCAAATGGCTCCTTGCTGCTGTAGAAAATTTACGTAATGTCGGCCGTGCCAGTTACCGGCTTTAGTGTTTCCTTGAAAATTATGAATTGCGCCAGGGATGGTAATAATGCACACCCTCGAGGTACTTTATAAAAATCCATTTCCACTCCCGACAGACGCTGATGCATTAAGACGAGCGTCCCCACTCAAAGGGCGGTTGCCTCGTTCAAGATAAATTACAAATTCGATAACCGTCTAACCCCACCCTTGTACCTCGAGTAACCAGTACGAAGGGTGGCTCGCGAAAAGTTATCAGTTTCATAATTCATCGCATCATCTCAAGACGTACTAAGGATTCTTCATCCCTATCGCCATGGGTATCCAGGAGGGGTTGGGTTCGTTGCCCTGTGAAAATATGTCCTAGTTACTAGAGGATTGTCGCGGATTAGTCTACAAGATTTAGAATCATCCAACGACCATAGTAGAGACGTGGCTAAACGTCTGGTCTTAGCCTATACTTATAGTGTGTCCTTCATCAAGATTTCAACGAATAGAACCTGATCCCGATGGCGTGGGAGTGGAGCCATCATCGAATTAAAAGCAATTCATCTCGTCAATTTGAAAAATCATCCCCAATTTTTCTATGGACACACGCCACCCTGACTTTCATTCTTCATCCACGTGTCTACTTGGAATTTCATAGAATGTGTTTTTGCCATGAACATTTCTCTGACAATCAGTTCTATAGTAGCTAATTGGATCCTTGAGTCTGTCATATGGAATCATCATGCTTATCCAGGGACAAATGTCTTTCATTTGGATGGATTTCTGGGGAAAAGAGAAAATAGTTAAGGAATGTATAAAAGGATCGAAAATATATAGAAATATGATAATGCTAAAATATACATATATATATATATATATATATATATATATATATATTACTGCAGCAACGACTGTAGGTACATGAGAGATATCCTTAGTTATTCAGGTTTCTAGAGAAACAGCAAAGATAATTTCACTACACAGCTTCACCATTAGTTTACGATCCCCGGGGGCATACGAAGGGTTACTTCCCTCTGTATGGCGAATGTTTATAGGGCCTACTCTGGGGCTTGGGTAACGTCGCGGTGCGGTGTTACCATCGAAAGTTATAATTGCTATGTGTTAGCGGTGTGGTGGGAGGTCGCATTACCTTTATTTTTTATGGGAGCTCTCTCGGGTTTTTTGTTATTGCTTGTATGGCAGGGCGCTCGCGATGGGTTTGTTGTAGGTACGTGATTACAATGTTTTTTTTTTCAAATACCGTTCTATAGACAACTTTAATAAAAGTCTGATATTAGTTTCTACTATTTTTTTATGTAAAAAATATATATTCTAAGTAGGAACGCTTGAACCGTGTGACGTTTAGTATTTGCGTAAAGTAATTATATAATGAATATCGTAATTTTAATTTTATTCAATATCCCGTGTTGCATACAATACAAGTTGTTTTATTGACCAATATTTAACTTATATAGGATAAGAATACCGTCTATGTAGATATTTTAATGCAAATTTGCATTAATATTTTTGTCTTTCAGCTCGGCGTAATATTGCTGCAACCTTTTCAACCAGAATCGCCAATACATTTGTACGTTATCCGGCGTTAACTCGTACACGCTGGCCTCGTTCCCGCTCGAATAGGCAACGACAACCAGACCATGTTTTATCTGGAAAACGTCAGGATTTTCATTGAATGGCAAACCGGCAGTGCGCCTCTCACAGAGAGCAATTATTCCACGTCGAATCGATATTTACCTCAAATGAATAATTCCTGTCGGCATTCAAAGCTCCGATATATGAAGCCACCTGTAAAGGCGCGTCGTACGTCGAGCCTATCGTGCTTTTTGGTTTATCGGACTTTTTCCAGTCGATCACGCAGAGATTGCCCCTGCAATGAAAACGACACGCTCTGATTTGACAATTCAAAAGTATTAGTGACATTCGCCATTATTCTAGTAACGTAACAACTTCTGTGGGGATTATTCGCGTATTGAGCATCCGGAACAGAAGTAAGGAAATATCGGTATTTCCATTTGTATCAGTGCGGCAGAATTGTAAATCGATACTTCGAATGCTAACGGCGTGACTAAAATTGACAGTGTACAGTACGACATCTTGTTTCTGTTAATGCTATTGAAGTTGGGTTTTGTTCCGTCGGTAATGCAGGTTTACTACTTTACCTGTATTTAGCTATGCAATCCACAACGCCTCTGTAATGCAATTTTGAGTGAACCGCATGAGTTTCTATAGCTTTGACGTCCGTTACCTCTTTTAGTACATCCTGCACACTTTCGAACGACGGTTTGACCTTCTCCGGTATCTCAAAAGGCGTCCCTGTCAGTGTGCTTTGGATCGAGGAATGCAAGAGCTTGCCATTTTCTAACAACTCTTTAAAACAGTAATAATTAGTAATGGAAGTATTGACGTTGAGTTGGCTGAAAATAGGTATACATATACCATTTTGATAAATAGCGAAACCTTCCTCGCCTAACGTTTGTATCATACGATTCTTCCACAGTTGCAAATTTAATTTTGCCTGTTCAGACATAGTCGCACTCAATATTCTTGTTACACTAGGAAAAATTAAATTCTCTTCGTTTTCGTATTGTGAGAGCGATAAAATATTTGATGATTTTTCGACTTTCGAGATCGATTTTTTACTATTATCAAAGATCGAAAAGGACGTGATATGATTTATTATTATGTCAGGCAAACTCAAAGTTTTATTGTTCACAGTAATTCCCGTTTTATTTTCCAGGGTAGAATTCACAGATGTAGAAACTGTTTTCGAAATAGATTTTTCTTTCGATAATTTGGTTTTGTTTGTGGAAACATTTTGCGTGATCTCCTGATCGTCCAGCGATGCAGAATCAAGAGTACCTAAAATCGAAAGTTGTTCTGCACTTTCATCAACGACGGCAGAATTCAAAATGTTATCCTTCGATTGATCATCAGTATTCTTTGCTTGTTGTTTGATCAGAATGGTGCGACTTGTATTAATGTTTTTTGTGGAATTACGTCCAAATGGTACTAACTTTATTTTCCCATTTTTCTGCGCCCAAATTATTTCACTATCGATATTCGATGTTGAAGCAACAGGAATGACACCTTTCTTTTCAAGCTTTAAACGTTTTTTCTTTTCTTTGCTCGTTTCCACTAAGTTTCCAAATAGAAGTTTATTCTCCTTCATCAATTGCTTTATGTGCAATGCCTTTGTATTTTTTTCTCTGACATGAATTTTCAATAAACTTTGAATTGCGCGCGCTTTCAGCGCAGAGTAATAAGCCGGTAAATTGTAGCACGACATAACCTGTGCGTTTTTAAGAACTGAATCACATAAAAAGAACACACTACGGAAGCTCAATTTACATAGACGTCATTAACTTTCACAGAGCATAAAAATAATATAAACTTTGTTAAATCAACACACTAGATACACTGAAAAACATTCAGATTGAACATTCGTGCATACGTGCATACTATAATGAATCCAAACGAATGAATTTTTCCCGACACTAAAGCCGTCTACCGCCATTTGATATTCACTATTGATGCCGGACACTCCACTTTAGCTACACATGGTATTATGGTTAAGATTCCGTAATTGATAACATAATTCCACCGTCCACCAAAGATAAACAGACTAGGCATTTTACCAGTTGTCGAAAACTTTGAGCAGTCGGTAGCCGAATTTATTGTATCAATAACTCAGAGAATTATAGATACTAAAAACCTGACAATGAGAATATCAAGGCTATTATTTGACGATAAATTCAAAATGAGTAATACGTACCTTGAGAAAAATTGGGAAGCTCGGATGTGCCATGCGAGTAGAAAGTAGGTGAAAGTTGTAGTTCTAGTTGGCGCCACTCTCATAGCGCAAGTGTTCCAGGTTAGAATGTTGATGATTTGTTGGATGATGCGCGGGAAGAAGGAAAACGTTGAAGACAATAAAGGCGCTTGAAATTTAGAAAACGAATGACAAAGGTAGGAAAGAATGTTCTGAAATATATTGTAACGCATATCTCTCCGCGAAGGAGTTACGATGGCTACGAATAATATGTCGAGCCATTTTTCTGACTTGTATAATTATTTTTGAGCTTCATCCATATTGAAATTATGTATCGAAATGCGTTTTATTTTGATCCCACTACGTATTATTGATAGAGGAAGAAAGAGAGGTAAACCAGAGACTAAGTAAAATACCATTACAGTTGCATTAATTTTTAATTTAAAATATATAAACTGTACATATATTTAAAGATAGTATATATATATATATATTTTTATGTAATATAATTGCTGTGAGCACGATAAATTAATAGTATATAATGATTTTGTATACGCGACTGACGAGTTTCGAAGAATTTTCTGATTTTCCCAGAAAGTCACAAGACTCTTCCGTCTGTGACGCGTACTCGTCCGTCACGTTTTATTATCTACATCGAAATGAAATAACTATATAATCGTCATACCCTATTCAGTCCATTCTACAAAATACAATAATACAGACTGTTGACGCGTGCGGTAATTTTCATCGCAAAGATATTTATTTCTTTAGCTTCGCATGAAAATATTTGCTCGTTCGCGCCAGACGAGTAAATCGTCGAAGAGTTCGTCATTTCATGAGGAATTCTCCTTTTATTTCTCGCCCTTAGCAAATCAACAGAAGATCTGGTACAATTTGTATTCGCCTTGTTGATTCTCGAAATCCTCTTGGGGCACAATCATCGAACCACCTCTTACTATGTCAATCGAAAAGAACACTGTGTAGAATTAAAAATCTGTGTGAAAGTGATGCCCATGAAAAAATGTTTTTCTCTTGATTTCGTGAACACGATGAAATGATCTACAGATATACCTCTTCCTTCGACGAGACAATGAATAAGAGAACAATTGATTTTAAAAAATACAATGAACAAAGTGAAGGTGTTCGATTGGATGAATATCGTGAAGATTTACAAATAATTTCGAATCATCGTAAAAACGCGGAATCATTGGCGATTATGATTTGTAGACGATCCGATTAGTTTGCGATTCGCGTGCATCTCCGGTGCGTTTATGTTACAACTAGGCAGCTTCACTTTAAAATACGAATTTTCACGAGAAAATCGTCCCCGACTGTACAACATTTTTCCTTTTTTCATCTTTTATTTTTTTTTTTATAAATAATTCCTTTACACATAGACTTATCCTACATACCTCCAAAATTGTCCGACGACGCGAAAAACATTGCGTTTCGTATAATATCTCTGTTTACGGCGATTCGCCATCAGTTTAATACTGTATAGGGTTCAATGAAATTGTCATCCAACCGCGTCGTGTTTCCTTCTACACGCAGGAAATAGAAAACTACGGGAGCCAGTCTCTCTCGAATATCCTGGTAAAATAGAACTGTCAAATTAATTATTCGGCGCAGTTGTCGTCACCGCCGCTAGATCAATCGCCAAACGACTGACGTGGATAACCGAGCCACGCGACTTAAAAACTGGTCGTCGGAATTTTGTTTAGTTAAAAGCTAATCTAGTGCTCTAATACAGGGGTAAGTTTCAGCTGCCCTGATAGGGCATTTGATCGGGAAGAGAAGTGGAGTGATTCTGATTAGGACTCTGATGATAGTGAGGGCTGCCGCCATCTTGAGACATTTCACTGACAACAGGTTCCTCGTACTTCCCTCTCTTGAATCGTCCATAAAGGGACGAATATGGTAAATTATAGTGAATGGCTGCTTGGTTGATGCTCATGTGACCCAGTCTGTAAAACAGATTTAAAGCTTTTAAATTTCCAACAGCCATAAAGAGACTCAGCAGAAGATAGATCAAAAACAATTCCCACTACTAACCGAACAGCTTCCAGAGCCTCCGTCATGGCGTCTTCGCTCCAAGGCGTCGGATTGCTTCTGCTGAGCTCGATGCCTTCCCTCTTGCATCTCCCGTAGAGAGTTCCTGTAGGAATTCCAAATTCGGTCGAAGCTCTTTGCACCGACGTCTGACCGGACCTTATTGCCTCGAGGGCTCTGTCCAGGTCGGCAGGAGACCAAGTAGTGGGGCTCGCGTTGAAGGGAGCAGCTAATCTGATCCCCTCTCTCCTAGCAATTTTGTACAGGGTGCTCGAGGGAATGCCAAAGGCCTTTGAAGCCTTGTTAGCCGAGATGGTACCGGTCCTGAGTGCCTCCAGCGCGTTGTTCAGACTCTCGTCGCTCCAAGATTTGGTAGGCCCATCCTTTTTTGGAGTATCAATCCCAAGACGATGAGCACGCTGCCACAAGGTCGTAGATGGTATACCGAATGTTGCTGAAACAAGGACAAAGATACAATTACAAAGATTGCAAACATGGAGCATTTTGAAATTTATAAAAAAAAAAGACTTCACGATTCTCACCTGATGCTTTTGTAAGACTCATATCGTGATTCCTAAGGGCCTCCAATGCCGCGTCCATGTCCTCCTGCGTCCAAGACTTGGAACCATGATGATGCGAGCCAGACTGACCCGAGTGCCCCCTCGCATTAGTCTCACCGGAATCCGAATGTACCGAACTTCCCGACGGCATGAGGCCCAATAATTCTGGCGTGATCATCATCATATTATCGTTATCCACAGCGTTCTTCGAACTCACACTCGCCCTGTCCGACATGTGGCTATCGATATCGATCGTATCCGAGGAATCCATCGTGTGCAAAGTCTCGAACTTGATCTTGACACTGTCGCAATTCTGGATATCTGCAACGATTTAAAGAAGAAAAAAAACGTGGATAGCCATTTAACTTGAATAAGAACGTATATCTCTAGCCAGATGCAATGCAGGACGAGTTTTTCATTGAAACGCATAGCATGTGGATAAATAACGCCTTTCCATCTTTCATCCATTTCTCTTGCTATTTCTCTCTTTCGCCCTCCCTGCTCTCCCTCACTCTCTCTCCCTCTCTCCCCCTCACTCCCTCTCTCCCACAGCGATTCATGCTAGCCGCTCGAAAATTCTTTCAGCGAACAGACCAAAAAATCTGCTACCAAGCAGCAACTCACGTGAATCTTGAAAACTATAACGTAAATAGGAGCGCGCCAATAATAAAGAGCGGGAAATTCAAACGGATCGTCCGACTGCCGAAGATTATAAAGTTGCGCAGCGTACGGCGTGTAAACGCAAAACGCTACTTCACGTGGAATATTAAACGAGGCTGCGTGGGCTGACTGAATGGAGCAACGCAAATCTAATCAGGAGCAGTTAAGCCCGATTAGACCAATTATTTTGATTCCCTCCTCGGCTAACGAGCGACTGGGTTGCTCTCCACACTTTGGCCTGGCTCCTTTTTATTTTCTTTAGTGTGTGTTGGGGTGGGGTTGTGGTGATGGG